CCGAATTCCATGATATATTTCTCGTACGACAGGTAGGGGTGGAAGTGTATTCTTTAGACGGGTCAATTGGAGTCCTAGTAATATCCTCAAAGGAAATCACATACCTCAAATGCTACTCTGATGGAAATGTCATGGGGTATATCATCATGGGGTGGTTTAGGGGGATCTCGTTGCAAGATCGCCAAGTAGTAGTACCAATCCCATCGGTGTAAACCTTCGTTGATGATAATGTCATGAAGACAATCAATGGGGATGAAATGACGAGATGCCGAGAACGCCCAAATCTTCGAGGTGAACGGTAGAGAAAATCCGCTGCATGTTTCAATTTGTATTCCGAGGGGTGGGATTACCACGACAGATTCTATAGAATGTCAGTTGATTTATATTCTTATACGGCATTTATTAGTACGTACCCCACGCGAGTCGTAAGGTCTTGTGCCACAAAATCAACACACCAACAACAACGACCCAAAGGGGAGACTAGTGTCGAACGATCAGATAAGGATTTGTAAGAGTAATCGAATTAAGCTTACACGAAACCTGTACCACGTATAAGTCATTGCAGCTGGGATAGTCAACACATCCAAAAGCGTCCACGTAGTTCTCCGTTTTAGGACATTGGTGCCATCCTTCGATAATTTATAGTTATAGACACGATATTCGATAGATAAAGGAAGATTATCCCTGATTTCTAGTTCAGGATGTGTCCTCTTGAGGGGTCGCATGCATCGAGGCGTAGTCGCCAGTTCCAAAAGTGGTTGGCGGCCCTAACTTCGACCGCGATGGCATTGCCCGCACATCTACAGCTAGCTCCTACACCCCAGGAGCTAGAATATATTACTGGAGAGATGCTTGTATTTATACAACCCCTCTTTAGAATGGAAAGAGTTCGCTTGGTCTCTGTTAGTGCGTCTATAATTCACAAGAACAAACTTCATATAATAGCTCATATGCAAATAAAGGGTGTCTACGGCCCTTTCAGACCACCAGCAAAAACAAAAGTTCCACTTTGGTTGGCACAATCGCTAAAGCTGAAGCGGAAATGTAGGATTGTTCCTCCTGATTGGGTGACAGTAGGCATGTACTACCAAATGACGAGATTGATATCTGATATATAGACACTAGATTTCCTCACTATTCGATTACAAGAGGAGACCACCCAGCCCGGCCTCTCGAGAATGCCTTTCCGCTATGCGGAAGTGGCAAAGGTTCTACTCGACATGTGAGGAGACAATTTTATCATTCCCACAAACTCATGATTGATACAGAGCACCGGATGATATCATGGAACCAGACCGCGTCAGAATATTGCTAAAGGATCTACGCGAAGCTAGGCAAGCAAAGTGTCGGGAACTACTGAAGGGATTGGACGAGTCTCATCTATCAGTGAGCACAATTTGGCACCACGAGGACCCTGGTCTAATATAGATCTAGGCTGATAACCTTTGCTCTATGGAGATCTGTGAGATCCGACTGTTCTTTACACGAGCTATGGGAATACTCGAAAAGTTATCTGTGGCACCGGCCCCAGCGGATGAAGATATGTATGATTTCTAGGCATTAAATGGAAATCTGTACGAAACTATCTTGCTTCGTGCTAAGCCTAACGGAATCATATTTTCCGCGTCGAGGTGGTCATGGTCGGAAACGATTCAAGGCAATAACGAGTAGTAGGATTGCCATTCAGATCCGTATAGCTACATATTGTAACAATAAATCAAAAGTATTTCGAGAAGTCGTAAGCGTCGCTCTCCCCTGCAACGGCAGCTGTTTTTGAGAGAACTCTTCCCTTTTGCCCTTTATGAACCACATTGATATGTTTTTGGTTTGACAATTTCCCACTAGTTTTGGCATTTGTGACTCGCACCTTTGCACCAGCTTTGGTATAAGGGGCAAACGAGACTGATTTCTTTTTTGGTGGCACAGGTTGCGCCTTTTCGGTACGTTTGGCTTTTCTTCTCTCTTTTCCGGATAACTTCTGCTTCGATGTGACGACAGCGGATTCATCATCGGAAACTTCCTCTGCTGACGAAGCCGACTCAGAACCTTCGTCGTTTTCTTCTTCTTCGTCTTCAATGGTCTCTTCGTCCTCGTCTCCAGATACCTCAGTATCGTTCTCTTCTTCTTCAGGCAATTCTTCTTCTGCATCCTCA